GTGTGTGAGTGTGTGTGCATGTGTGTGTATGTGTGTGTGTGCATGTGTGTGTGTGTGTGTGTGTGTGTGTGTGTGTATGTGTGTGTTGCGTCGGCGCACGCGTGTGTCTGTGTGTGTGTGTGTGTGTGTGTGTGTGTGTGAGATCAGGTACGTGTGTCTTTACCAGTACAGAAGGAAAGTGTGCGTCTGATGTTGTGTGTGTGTGCGAGCGTCTTGTGTGGCCTCTTCAGCACTGGGGCTTTTGTTGGCTTTCAACACGCCTTAGGATCCATAAAGCAGTATGACTCTCTCTCACACATACACAGACACACACACACACTCCTCAGCCGCCGGGCTGTAATGGCTTTGTGTGGATCTGCGCTAGATCACAGCGCACGAGTGTTGACGTGAACCGACGCTCCTGTGTTTACAGCCACTTAGCGTCGCACATCAGCGGGCGTTGACCTTTGACCTCTCGCTCGCCCGCTGTCCCGCTAATGGAGAAGAGCGGACGGTAAACTCTGCTTATGCTCTCTAATGCGTTTGAGTGCAGTCAGTCGCTGTTAAATGTCCAGAGTTGCTCAGATGCTTTTGCCGCTGACGTCACGTCTGTGTGTGCGTGTGAGGGTGTGTGTGTGTGTGTGTGTGTGTGTGTGCGCGCGCGTGTGTGTGTGCGTGTGTGTGCGTACACATAGGCTATAAGATACACTCTCTGTATGTATATATTTGCACATACTGTATAAAGACATTGGTAGAATATGGAACTACTGATGAAAACTATTTTTATATATACAAATATGTAAAGCTGAATATTTGCAACATAAATGTAAAAAAGTGGAGATAAGGTTAGAAAGCATGAAGCTCGCGGTGTCAGAATCTGTCTCAGATAGTCTGACGGCAGATAAAAGTGAATGATGAGTGATCATTACAAAAGTGTGCATCAAATACATTGAACGCAGAAGGTTAAATGTGTGTGACGCGCTAGAACAGACCTCACTGGTTCTCGCGCATCACACATGCATTTCATCTTTTGGTTTTAATGGCGGTTGGCAAATCTACTGGAAGGAGAATACTGCCACCTACTGCATAACATCGGCATTACAGCTGACATAAAATAAGGATGGGGCTTAGGAGAGCCAATACCGATCATTTAAAAAAAAATGCTTGATCGGCCCTGATCCTTGAGATCAGCTCAGGACATCCCAAGAATAAATTAGTCTTCAACTTAAGCTCTACTTCTGGTTTACATCAGTTAAACATGCTTTTGAGGATATTGCAGCTCATGCACTGCAAAAAATGATGTTGTTCCTCAGTATTTCGGTTTTGTTTTTCAGTACAAATATCTAAATATTCTTAAATCAAGATACATTTACTGGGGAAGCTAAATGACTTAAGATATTAAGTATTATTTCCTGACAGATTCATAAAAATGGATCTAAAAACAGATCAAAAATCAATTGAATCATACGCCAACTTAATTTTAATGTCTTATTAAATGTATCTTGATTTTTGCAGTGTTAAACCTTATAGTATACTGTGTAGTGTAGTTTATATGATTAAATTGGTCTTAAACTTAAATTGCACGCCTAGTTTAAATCAGTTAAACATGCTTTTGTGGTTTTTGCAGGTCATGCACTGCAGAAAATTATGTTTTTCCTTCGTATTTCTGTATTTGTTAATATCTTTTGTCATCACTTAAGTGTAACTTGATTTCAAGAATGTTTACATGTTTGTACTGGAAAACAAGACAGAAATACTAACATTCTTTAATCAAAATGCATGCACTTTAAAGGGGTCATCGGATGCCCATTTTCCACAAGTTGATATGATTCTTTAGGGTCTTAATGAAAAGTCTATAACATACTTTAGTTAAAATTTCTCAATGATGGTGTCAAAAACAGCTCCGTTCACAGCGAGCCGTTTCGGTGCATGTTTCTTTAAATGCTAATGAGCTCTGCTGACTCCGCCCCTCTCTTCTGTGGGGTGACGAGCCGTTCTCATGATACGGTTTACTTTAGCCGCAGAACTTGCAAACTAGCACATTATTAGAAAAGGCGATTTGCAAAGATTCATAAAAAACTTACACTCACTGGAGGTGAAGCTGGATCGCGAATAATTCGCGCGAACATAGACACATTTAGGTAGATCGGGGGCGCATTCCCTTCAAAAACAAACGTAATCCATTGCGTCTTCAGCGGCTCAGATGTTGGGAGTAAATGACGACTGCTATGTTCATTATTACAAGCAACAACAGAACACCTCAATCGCTTAGGAGTCATTCTGCTCCTGCTCTCAGGGCGGGTCTAAGATAAAACACCACTGTCAATCAACAATCGTGGGAGGGGCCTGTCTGTGTGATGTCACTCTGCTGAGAACGGCTTGATCTGAGAAAGGGGTTATGATTTATGGGGATTTAAAAAAAACACACCTGGTGGATTTTTATCATTATAGGGTGGATGTGTAAAAACACTGCCAACACACATTTATGTTCAAAACAACATGTAAAAGTGAATTTTGCATCCGATTACCCCTTTAAATGCAAAATGAAATAAGAAGTTTATGATTAGAGTTTATGATTAAAACCAGAACAAATATCTGCCAGTGGAGTCAGAAAAATAAACTTAATTTAAAGGAAAAACAAGTTTATTTTTCTTTCTATTGTCAGTTTTTAATTTTGATGATTTTGTCAGAAAAAAACTTCACTTTGCATCTCAAGTAAATGCATCACTTAAACATTTTTGCAGTGTGTTTATCCATATAACAAGCAGTGTAATGCATGATTAATAGTCTTCAACTTAATCTGTACTTCTAGTTTAAATAACTGAAACGTGTTAGTGGTCTAATTTATTCATTAAACACACACACACACACACTCTTACACACACGGTCTCTCACACACACACACACACACACACACACACACACACACACACACACT